ATAACAAGAAACACAACGTTACATCTCTCATTGATTAGTACTTTATCTTTATACTCATTTAACTAATCTTTAGTTTTTGACAGAGAATTCTTCTAAAATTACGAATATTTGTTTCTCTCTCATCTACTGTGGAGATTTTGTAGGAAAAAATTATCTTTATAATGAATCCATTGAGAAATTGATTATTCAAGTTCAACCAATTGATCGAAGAATATCAGAGAAAATTTAGTATTTAACTTAAATTCTAAAAACAAATTACTTATAAAAGAACGTTTTAATTGATTAATTTATAATTGGCAACTGCAAATGGTTGATCGTCGTATCAAATAACAATGAAACGACTTACTAATCATCTCCAAACTCACGATATCTATGGGTACAGGAGAGAATACATTGAGAATTATATTCCAGAACATTATAAAATAAAACGATTAGTTGATCAATGTGAAACATCAGAATCAAACGAAAACTATGAATATATACTTGATAGTGATGTGAAAAAAACGAATGAACGACCATTATTTCAAACACATGGAAAAATAATTTATGCTGCCGAATGGTTACCTATCAGTGTCAATCGACCAGAAATATTACTACCAAAAATTGACGGCATTCAAGCAAGGAAAGAAGCATTATTGTATGTTCATTTAAGTCATCATACGAATATTGTTCGATCATTTGGTTTTGTACTTAATAATAATCATCAGCATTGTACGAATTCAATCATGTTTCTACAAGAATATGCTTCATTAGGCAATTTATATGAGCTATTACAAAATAAAAATAAAAATTTCACAGAAAAACTTTTTATTGAAATTTTTTTACAAAATATTGATGCGATGATCTATTTGACATTGAATGATGTTGTTCATGGTGATTTAGCATGTCGGAATATACTTGTCTTTCGTTTTGATGAAATAAATCTGAAAAATATTCTTGTTAAATTAACTGATTATGGTCTTAGTCAGTATCGTCAGTTTGATTCATATGAATCGAATATTATTCCGATCAGATACGCTGCACCGGAAGTATTGATATCCAACGATAAAAAGCATGTTTATTCTGAAAAATCAGATATCTATTCAATGGGTGTCCTCATGTGGGAAGCATATATCCTAAACTTTGAACTATTTTATTTCAAATTTATCAATACATCTAACTTTTTTTTTCGAACGAAAATTCAGATCTAGATTTGATCTTCAAAATAATCATGGATAACATAAGTTTAATTTGGTCTTAATCGTACGTTCTAAAAATTGAAGTTGTTTGATCATCCGTAATGAATGACTGTGAACGACTACCAGAGGATAAACAAAGTTTTTCAAACAACACTGCTTGATAATCTTACATACTTTTGACTTGATTTTGTAAATTCTTATTTCAGTATTCACACAAGATCGAAGACTACAACTCGAAGAACAAAACAGTCTATATCAAGCTCGTTCATTAGCAGATTTACAAACAGAACAATCAGTTGATGAAGATCTCGAATCGGCAGTCATAAACTCGATCATCAATCAACAGCTTAGCGAGCTTCTATTGAATTCTAATCGAATAGGATCAGACCAACTCTCAATTCCAGTTGATACAGCTCAAAATAATAATTCATCGAGAGTACAGGGTGGTAAATAATATTATTCCAGGGGGGTAACAGTATGATCTCGAATCGGAGATATCATGAATTTTATACCAAATGAAAGCCCGGTAAAAAGGGG